GTATAACTCATTCACCACAGTAAGTACACATTTTCCACTTTAGGTGTCAAATGTAAAATTGCTCAAATATCAGACTATGACTAGATTCTTGAAGCACTGTCTCAGGGACTGTCCTGTTTGAAATGTCCTGTTTCAGGAGCTCCCCTGGAAATCTTGCGACAACCCTTGGAATACAGACAAATGTTTCTCCAACTACAGCATGGCGAACAACGCCAATATGACGAGCGCCGTCCTGGAGTTCTGGGAGTAAGGGCAAACTGTTTTTTTTAAACACTGGAATTTTGTATTCTAGCAGCATACAAACGCATTCCTTTTGTCCTCAGCTGTGTAAAAGAACCACTGTTGTTTCACAAAAATGCGGCTATTGTGCTATTTTGGCAAACAACCCTAGCTGAATGTTTTGCATCGGCAATTAGACAAGCTCTGTTTCAAACTGTTTGTGGGTTACGTGGGCTGACAGATATAAATTCTACATTCTCTAATAATGTTTGTTCCCCTTTCCCGCTCAGACGTAACATGCATCAAATGACTGATGGTTTGGAAAAGCCGGGAGAGATAAGACTGCCACTAGCAATAACACTGGCCATTGCCTGGGTTCTGGTCTATTTTTGTATCTGGAAGGGCGTAGGCTGGACTGGAAAGGTAAGAATGCCCTTGCACAGCACACATATGACATTCAGGTATGCTATTTGTTTTTAACAAATGCAAAAATTCAATAAAGCGCTGACTATTCAAAATCAGGCCTGTAATCAAGGCTTTGGGATCAGAATCTCCTGAACAATGAAAGTCTTCCATGCTTTCACAGCGCTTTCTAATTGGCATTTTTCTCCAGATATAATAACGGTGCGGTATCACATAATATCAAAGCAGGCATGGTTTTTTTAGTAAGGCTGTTAATGCGTCTTTCAGGTGGTATATTTCTCAGCGACATACCCGTACTTCATGCTGTTTATCCTGTTCATCCGTGGAGTGACGCTGCCTGGAGCGAAAGATGGCATTTTGTTCTATATCACGCCTGAGTTCAGCAAGCTGAAAGAATCAGAGGTAGAGCGCTTTGTAATTATCATACGGTAATAGATGTGTGTTTGCAGGCGTGTAATTTGATGAATTTCTACCATGTCTCGTCTCTTCTCTTAGGTGTGGCTTGATGCAGCCACTCAGATCTTCTTCTCTTATGGTCTGGGCCTGGGCTCTCTGATTGCCCTTGGGAGCTACAACCCTTTCAACAATAATGTTTACAAGTATGCCTCAATTGTAAGATGTATTAAGGGGCGTTCAAATGTTATCGTTAATTTGTTTCTTTAATCTGAAAGGTCACATAAGTAAAAAATTTGTATTTCAAAACAGCCAAACCGCCATTTCTCAAACAGTTTTTGCCTAAAAAATATGCTTCCTCGTCACTCTCAATACGACAGATATATAATAGGATCAGTAGTGTTGGATTACTAAACAATTACGTGCTTTCGTCTGCTTCTCAGAGATTCTATCATCGTCTGCTGCATCAATTCCTTCACCAGTATGTTCGCTGGATTCGTCATTTTCTCTATCGTAGGTTTCATGGCCCACATCACACAGCGGCCCATAGCAGACGTGGCTGCATCAGGTAATTATGATGGATTTCAGTCTGATCACTGGATAAAGACAGACTACTATATGTTACACAATGTTTTTGCATCTGACATCGTTATTATGAGCAGTTTGCATGGTACATGAATTTTTATTTTTATTTTTTTGCAATAAAACTAATAATAAAATATTAAAAATTAACCCACTGATATAATCTGCTGAACTGATATTCAGTTAATTAAAATATTAAATAATTTGACTTGGTTGTAGCAGAACGTAATGTTCAGCCCTGTCCTCTATAATCTGCATAAACCTATTACGTGATTTATTCCTATTACAAAACTAAATAAATAACATCTCTTAAAATTGTTACACTGAAGCAACATCATTTGAACCTTTCTGCTGCATGACGAGAAGATAAGTAAAGTGTTGGCTGCATCAACCATCAATGCTGCTACCAACGTTATTATTAAAATATGCATTTTGCTTATTTTAGACAAATTATGA